TTGTATAATGGACTGGGGAGAAAATAAGTGAAAAAAAGATTTAAACCAAAAGCTTATCTGAAATATTGAAGTGTCCAGTCAGATTGTTTCCAATCCAGAAGCAAAATATAGGTCAACAACAAGATGATATAGTGGGAAGGGAATCTCACATTATTTTCCCTCAGAGAGTAGATATGTACTTGAGAATACTTTCCTCTGGGATAATTCTTAATTTTATATAGTTAGTGAAAATGTCATTAGACTCTGGAACTCTGTGTAAGGGAGCCTGGGGAAACAAACAAATAAACCTGGCAAAAGTCCACATAGACACAACACACACTATGCCCACTCTCCTGTTCTACCTGCATCATTTAAGGTTTCAGAAGATAAACATCTGTAACCTATAAGAAAGTAAAAAAACGAACCTGGAAATAATGAGAAAAGACAAGATGGAGAGCTATTTCCAGTGTCTGGGATGTTTGTGAGATAAGGTATGATCTTATCTCCTTACATTTCTGGAAATCCTGAATCCAATTAATTACTTTTTCAAACAACAACCAGCACCTCACTTCAGACAACAGTAACAAATACTTTTCTGTTCTTCCTACTTGTTCTAGTCCTGCCCTCATCCCTTAACCCTGTCATTCAGTTCTCAGAGAAACAGTTCTTTGAAGGTCACTAATAAATGTCTAAATATTGTATTTATAAACATATTTCCATCTTTAAATGTTATGAGATATTTGGAATCACCCATTATAAGTTGGGTCCTGTCAGAAATTACAAGTCATACAGGTCGACAGAGCAAATCCATCAAAAGATGAAAGTATACATCTGGGACACCAAGCGTGAACAAGATAGAGGGCATAAGCAAGCTGCAGGACCAGGTAACCCAAACTTCCTTGCCACTACCAAGTTGCACTAGAACACCATTCTCAGGTCACACCAATGGTTATGTGGACATTCTTGTAGGAACAGATTGAGGAGGAAAAAGCCTGAGGTTTATAAATAGGTTGGCTGGATCAGCAGGTTCCAGGTGGAAATGGAAAGCAGCTGCATGATAGCATTACTAAGGGTGTCTTGAATAACTACAGAGAGCAAAATTGTTTCAAAGGTTGAAGCTTTGAGCTGGGCACCTACTGATTCACTTTATGGGGAACTCTGTAACTTCCTTAAGGCTGAAAGCTATACAGGAGAGCTTTGAATTCTCCTCCTCTAACATCCAATATTTTCAGTCAGTATTCTTCATTTTAAGATAAAATTAAAACTGAATCAAGCTACTTATGCAATAAAGGGCAGGGGGAGATTTTACGATAAGGATAGGACTATTTTTTAGAGCTACAGGGCAAGGAGTAAAAGCAGGCCTTAGGGAAATTCCACAAACATATTGGAATTACATCTGGACTCTTCCTGTATCTCATCTCCATTTCTTTCTGAATGTATGATTTCCTCTCTCTCTCTCTCTCTCTCTCTCTCTCTCTCTCTCTCTCTCTCTCTCTCTTTCTCATTTTCTGCTTCTCCACTAGAAATGGTTTGTGGAAAACAATCTATATCTTTCAAGGTTGTTGTTTTTAATATATTTTTATTTATTTCAGAGAGGAAGAGAGAAGGAATGATGAGAGGAAATCATTGATTGGCTGCCTCTTGCACACCCTCTACTGGGGATCCAGCCCACAACCCAAGCATGTGCCCTTGACAGGAATTGAACCTGGGACCTTTTAGTCTGCAGGCCAATGCTCTACCCACTAAGCCAAACTGGCAAAGCTATCTCTCAAGTTTTATATGTATACTAGAGGCCCAATGAGTGAAATTCGTGCAAGAGTAGACCTCTCTTCCCCCTGGCTGCTGGCACCCAGGACCAGGGCTTCCCTCGCAGCCCAGGCTTTGTCCAGAAGGTCATCCACTAGGATATCTGGTCTAATTAGCATATTACACTTTCATTATTATAGATATAAATGTATGCTATGATCCAACATCAGAAAGATTGGATTTTTTAAATTTGGCATAAATATGGATTTCCTTTCTAAAAACAAAACCAAAAACCCTCTAACTGGCCCAGCTTAAGTCAGATTCCTATTTTGGGTCCAAATTGTGTAAAATATAGTCATCTTACTCGAAATGGTTGCTAAAGGATCAGCCTTGACTTTGACAGAAAACTAGGGCACTGTTAACTGGACATTCATTCTCAGTTATCCTTCTCTTTTATCTGCTATACTAGTGGCCTAGTACACAAAATTCATGCACATTAGAAGGGGATTAGAGGAAATAATTTAATATTGCTATTTGACCTTTCTCTATAAGTGTCAGAGATGAAAGAAATTAGTAAAATGTATATGAAAACCTTCCTCCTGTCAGAGTCTGGGGCGCACCACGGGACCCAGAGTCAAGTCCCTGCCCACCCACATGCACCTCAAAATTGTGTGAGACCCAGACCCAGCCGCGCTCCACCCCCACCCCCTGCAACTGGGTTAGATCCAGACTTGGCCAGTCCCACCCTTGTCAAGCCCTGCCAGGCAGGAGGGGTAGCCTCAGGTCCCCTGGCCTGGCACCAGAACGAGGGGCAGCCTGAGGTCCCCCAACCCAGACCGGGGTGAGGAGCATACCTTGAGGTCCCCCGTCAAGCCCCACTGGGTGGAGGGCATGGCTTGAGGTCCCCCATCAAACCCCACCAAGTTGGGAGGGGGGGGAAAGCAATCTCAGGTCCCCAGCTGTCCCTGTCAAGCCCCACTGGGTGGAGGGCACGGCCTGAGGTCCCTTGTCAAGCCCAGCCAGGCAGGGGGCGCAGCCTCAGGTCCCCTGGCCTGGCGCTGGGGTAGGGGGAGCAGCCTGAGTTCCCAGCACCAGGACAGGAAGTGCACCTTGAGGTCCCCCATCAAGCCCCTCTGGGCAAGGGGCATGGCCTCAAGTCCCCTGGCCTGGCACCTATGCAGGAATGCGGGCTGAGGTCCTCCAGCCTGATGCCAGGGTGGGGGATACAGCCTGAGGTCCCCTGCCAAGCCCCACGGGTCTCTGCTAATTACTCGTTAGGGCTCCTTATGGGAACTTGGCTTCAGCTGTGGGCAGCCATATTTTGTCATGGAGTGATGGTCAATTAGCATATTTCCTCTTTATTGAATAAGATGGTCCTATCAACACAAACTATTCCATTCTTCTTTCAAAATTACTTTCATCTACTCATATATTCACTCCAACTATCTTTATTGTTTGCCAAAATAATAATTCAGAAAAAAAGATATTTTATTATAGTTAAATCTGCATTCTTTAATTTCTGCTGAGGATAAACTTTTCCCCCCCATGTTATAATTAGTGTTTCTGCTTCATTGGTTTGTACTATAGACTGAATCATGCTCCTCCCTCTCAAATTCATATGTTGAAGTGCTGACCTCCAAAATGGCTATATTTAGAGATAGGGGCCTTTCAAGAGGAAGTTAAAGTTAAATGAGGTCATTAGGGTGGGGCTCTGATCTAATAGAACTGGTCGTTTCACAAGAAGAGGAAGAAACCTCAGGAATGCTTGTATACACTGGAAAGGGCGTGTGAGGGCACAGTGAAGTTTTCTGAAAATCAAGAAGAGAAGCTTCAGAAGACACCAAACCTGTCAACACCTCATCCCAGAACGGTGAGAAAATAAATTTCTGTTAAGCCATCCAGTGTGTGGTATTTTGTTACAGTTTGCCTAGCTGATAGATTTTGCCTCTGATCATTATCCATTTTTCTTTTCTTCTGGTAAGAGCTCTCTAAACATTAGGCTATTAGCCTTTTGTATAAAATAAATATTTTACAAATATTTTTAATTTACAAATATTGTTCCCAATTTATTCTCCCCCTCGTCTTTTTTATTTTTTAAATATATTTTTTCACTGATTTCAGAGAGGGAGAGTGAGGGAGAAATAGAAACAGCAATGATGAAAGAGAATCACTGATTGGCTGCCTGCTGCACACCCCACTGAGGATGGAACCCACAATCTGGCATGTGCCCTCATCAGAATCCAACCAACATCAAAATAAATATAGACATAATTAACCAAATGATAATCCAATAAAAGGGAAGAGAGTACCGTTTGATTTAGCTGCATTATCTTACTAGGGGGAAAAAATAGTACAGAAGAAACTACTTGAGGATTGGCAGTAGGCTTGTTTTCAGACTCCTTTTGTGAGAGTTGTCCTTAAAAAATTAAAAAAAAAACAAAACTTTTTTTTTCCTCCTGGGACAGAAGGCCTAGATGTTTTTACATACTTAGTGGTAAGAAGAAAACCTACCTAATGGTGATCAGTGGGTTGAGGGTTGTGTTCTCTTAAGAAAAGGGCATAAATAAAATCTAAGTCGCACAGGCCGGCCATGTCCATGGGGAACGTACCGCCTCCATCGCTCCAGTCCGGATTTAAAGCCAGAACAAGTCCAGGGACTCTGGAGACAGTTCGAGCGACTGGGAAATCCTGCCAAAGCTTCGGCTACTCTTCCTATCAGCTCCCCCTTCTCTTCTCTCGGCTTCCCGTGTGCAACCACCGGACCACCGCGTGGCAAACGTGCATCGCGCTACCCACGTGGCTCTCGAGGCAATGAAAACGAATTGGAGGACTGGAACTCCCAAAGTCAAAGTGGCCAGGAGCATCCATGCCCACAGACTCCTCCCGCGCCCCGTGGCCGGCCGAGAAGGGGTGCCCGGCGGGAGGGCGGAGTCAGAGGAGACGCAGGTGAAGACAGTTACAGAGAAACACGCGAAAAAGCCTTCCGCCCGCTGGTCGCTCAGGACCTTCCTCCGAGGCCCGCGGGCGAGAGGCGGGTGGGTGAGGGCGAGGGCGCGGCGAGACGGACCTCCCCGAGAGGAGAAGGCTGACCACGCCTTTCGAGGGCCAAGGGCGTGAAGCTGTTCAACACGAGGGCGAAGGCGAGGGCGAGGGCGAGGGCGAGGGCGAGCCGTTCCGCCAGCGCCACGCGAGGAACACGTGGCCAAACCCTCCCCACCCGGCGCTGCTCCCGCGCTCCATAAGCGCCCGGACCTCCCCACCCTTCCCGGCAGCCTCTGCGCCGCGCGCACGCGGAAGCCCCGCCGCAGCGCTTTTTGGCCGCTTCGGCCGCCGTCCCTCCCCGCGTTGCTACGGTAACCCAGCCGCCATCACTATGTCGTTGCCACAAGCTTCTCAGTCTCGGGTGTTCGTGGAGCTGGTCCCCTGGGTTGACCGGAGCCGGGAGAACCACGCGGTGTCGGGCGGAGAGACGTTGCCCGCCCTCCGCCGCCCGCTCTCCTCCTCGGCGGCGGCGCAGGCCCAGACCTCGGGCCGCGAGGTGCACGTGAGCGGCGCCGCGGAGGTGTCTGCGGGCCCGGACCGGGCGCAGGTGGCGGTGCGGGTGAGCAGCAGCAAGGAGGCGGCCGCCGAGGCCAAGAAGAGCGTCTGCCGCCGCCTGGACTACATCGCGCAGAGCCTCCAGCAGCAGGGCCTGCCGGTGAGCGCGCGGCGCGGCGGCGGAGGGGTCCGGTGGGTGGCAGAGGGCCCGGCCCCGGCGGCGCCCGGAGCGGGGCCGGGGGAGGTGGGCGGGGCCTGAGCATCCCGGAGGGTCCTTGTGGCCGCGGGGTGACAGGGGCCGGGGCCTGGCCTAGGGAGTCCCTGGCCCGTCCTTCTTGGGGAGAGGAATGAATGACTGGCCGCGGGGACGGCTGAAAATGCAAACTGAGTAGGATTTTTTTTTTTATATGGCGATATGTGCTGCCATAGTTTGGTTTTTACCCTTGAAACGATGAACTGTTAAACTGGAAACATTCGACGTACATGCGTGCCTAAGCAGTGTCCTGTACAATAATAGTTTTTGTTGTTGTTTGTTTTGTTTCGATGCTGCGCCATGGGATTGGCAAGTGAAAAGCATGACCTGCTTCCTCCCAGCCTTGGAAAGCTCCGCATGGAATGGCCCGTCGTTATTTTTGGCCAACAGTAATGGGGGCGGAGAAAGGGGGGTCCTTGAAGACCCAAAAATGTTCTCCAAATTTTTTAGTTTTAAGTTTTAAAAAAATGAATCTGTTATATGGTAGATGCCGCCTATAGAAAATACCCCTACTTACCCGATGTCTGCGAAATCACTAGGTAAATCTAACCTGAAGCCTACTTTTGAGAACAGAATAAAAAACATGAAGCAGCCTTGTTTAATCCATACCACCGCCTCATTAGGCAGGCTTTTGATATCTTCATTTTCCAGATTTAAAGAGGTTAAGTAATAAGTAATGTTCTGAACGTCAGCCAGGGCGATATTTGAACTCCTGTATTCCTGAAAACAAAACACAGCTTGCTTTTCCGACAATGACAGGCTGCGGGTAATTAGCATTAAAAAAAAAAAAAATCAGAAACCATAGAATGGATCAAGCCTCTCAATTCTTTCGTTGGGCCACAGTTGCAATTGACCCAGTGTAACACTGAGTTTATGAAAGTTCTATCCGAAAAATCAAGTCTTTACTTTAAGGAGAAAATAAAGGTGTACTGCATTTACAGACATAGTTATTCTTTAAATAAGTTGTAAAAGAATGTCTCTAAATGATTTTTTCACTTTAGAAGAATTCAAATGCTAATTAAAATAATGTGAATAAATGTTTTTCCTATGTAGAGAAATATTTTCCCAGAAAAACTGCTGCCAGTGCCGCAGTCCTGTTTGAATATTACTACTAATTCTTAAGTTACTTACATAAAATGTATACTACTCCCACATGACCATAACTCCTAATATGTAAAAAAAATAAATTACTATGTTCAGGTTACAGTTAAGATTACATTAAGATTCAGTGTTTGCCGAGACCGGTTTGGCTCAATGGATAGAGTGTCGGTTTGGGGACTGAAGGGTCCCGGGTTCGATTCCGGTCAAGGGCATGTACCTTGGTTGCGGGCATATCCCCAGTAGGGGGTGTGCAAGAGGCAGCTGATCGATGACTCTCATCAATGTTTCTAACTCTCTATCTCTCTCCCTTCCTCCCTGTACAAAATCAATAAAATATATTTAAAAAAAAAAAGATTCAGTGTTCAGGACAAGACACACAAAGGTCAGTAATCTTCCAATTATTTCTGCTAATGGAGAAAAGCAGTCATGTAGGTAATTTGTTTGATAGGTAATGCAAAAAAATCATTTATATTACTTTGCAGGAAGAATTATAATGGGTCTTCTCAAAGCCTTTGTTTACTTTAAACTTTGGGATCTTGGGTTTATAAACATCACTCCCCTGTTTAAAGAGCTCCTCATATTCCGAACTCCTCTGCTTTACAGATAGAGCCTAACCCTCTCATTTCCTGTCTTCCTTCTCTCCTGGTTGACTACTAGCTGACCCCCCCACCCCCCGTTGTTTTGTTTTGTTTTTTTTCAAAGAACTAGCCCAAGTTCACCTCCTTGGCATTGTTTTCCTAACATAACAGTAGTCCCTGTCATGCCACCCTCCACTCCCCACTTGTAATAAAACTTACATTCTGTGTTACATGTGTTGTTTTACTTGTCTCTCCTCCATATTCTAAACCTCAGTAGAGATCATTTTGCCTCTTGTTTGCTTTGCATTCATCTATATCGCATGATGCATTCTTAGAAAGTGGTTTCTGAACGAATAAAAGGAAAAAATGAGAGAAGCATAAACAATGAGTTCCAACTATATTACAGACCATATATAGTTTTATGATCACATAGCTTCATATATAAGGGCATAAGCCTCGTTTTTTAGGGCTTTCTTGGGAAATATTTTGAAGTTCTAAGCAGTATTTACTCGTTCAGCCATCAAACAAAACTAGGCATTCCCCATCACTGTTCAGTTTAAAACAGCACTTGGTGTAATGTGTAATTCTTTTGTTTTCTGGTTTGTGTGTTCCTCTCACAGGCTGTAAGCTCTTCCTAGCTATTTTTTTCAATAAAAATGTAATGGATGCCTTAAGCATGTTGCTAGGCACCAGAAATGGAGAATGAGTAAGATTTAGGTACTGAAGGAGACTGATGATAGGAATAGAATATACATAGTAGGTGTTGTGATCAAAGTATGTGCGTGAGACAATATAGAAGTGTAAGAAAATAAAGCAATATTCATTTTACTTGAGGAATTCCAGAAAGCTTTCATAATGGAAATGACACGTGTCAAATCTTAAACAGTGACTGGCGGGAAAGCATTCCAGTTTCACAGTAGAGTGCAGCAAGTATATGTGTTCAGAACACTATTCACAGTCCCCTGTGGCTAGGGCGCAGGAGCACTTAGGGAAAATGGAGGGGATTCAAGGGATAAGACTGAAGCAGAAAGCTGTACCCAGAACACGAAGGAAGGCCTTGTGTGCAATACTGAGGAGTTTGGATATTATTGATAATAATAAAACTTTTTATTATTGCTAGACCTTTTACAAATGTTATCTTCTGTGATACTCCCATCATATGAGACTGGTAGTTTAGTTGCTGCTTTAGAGATGAGAACTCCCAGGATCACAGTAATCATTGGCAGTAGCTTGTCCAAGGTCACACAGATAGGAAGTGGCAGAGTTTAGACTCCAGCCAAGAACTCTGACCGCATGCTCTTAACCACTAGAGTAAGGGTGTCGAACTCAATCAGAGAAGGGGCCAAAATCTAAAATCCAGCCTAAATCGCGGGCCGAATGGTTTACTGAACAATCATAAACTGTCATTGTGATGGAAACGCAGCGGAGTGCAGTGATGACAGCGCGGTGCGGGCCACATTGCAAGGCCTGGCGGGACGGATCTGGCCCGCGGGCCTTGTGTTTGACACATGTGCACTAGAGTATATTGCTGCTTTAATGTCTTGGTAAAAGATACGTTTATGTTATAAAAGAATATTAAATGACAGAAAAGTTTCATGCTAATCAGTAAATAAAGCTGATAACAAGAAATATACTAACAGTTTCATTTTAAATTTACCTGTATTCTAAATTTTCTACAGTCAGCAGTTATCTTTATCATAAAGACGCATAAATATTTTCATGAGAGTGACAGGCATTAAGCTATAATCAGAACTTTAGATTTTTGGGTTAAAGTTTTTTCTAATTTTTCTGGATAATATAAACTGCTTGAACTTAGTTTATATCTTAAAATTCAGATTCAGGTAGGTCCCCTACAAAAGAGCATATAATTAGGTCCCAGCCAAGTAGCTAGTGTCATCCCTATAGTTTCTAGTTTGATCCCTGGTCAGGCACATGCATCAACCAATGAATGCATAAATAAGTAGAACAACAAACCAGTGTTTCTTTCTCTCTAAAAATCAATAAAATTTAAAAAAGAACATACAGCCGAAACCGGTTTGGCTCAGCGGTAGAGCATCAGTCTGCGGACTGAAAGGTCCCAGGTTCGATTCCGGTCAAGGGCATGTACGTTGGTTGCGGGCACATCCCCGGTAGGGGGTGTGCAAGAGGCAGCTGGTCGATGTTTCTCTCTCATCGACATTTCTAGCTCTCTATCTCTCTCCTTTCCTCTCTGTAAAAAAATCAATAAAATATATTTAAAAAAAATAAAAACATACAATTAAATCATTATTGAGCATAATAATCTTTATATTTATTTAGCATGTTTTTTTTTTGTTTTTTGTTTTAAATATATTTTTATTGATTTTTTACAGAGAGGAAAGGAGAGAGATAGAGAGCTAGAAATGTCGATGAGAGAGAAACATCGACCAGCTGCCTCTTGCACACCCCCTACCGGGGATGTGCCCGCAACCAAGGTACATGCCCTTGACCGGAATCGAACCCGAAACCTTTCAGTCTGCAGGCCGACGCTCTACCACTGAGCCAAACCGGTTTCGGCTTATTTAGCATGTTTTGAAGGATACAGAAATTTTGTAAAACGTAAGTTCTGCCTGTACCCAAAGATGAGAGTAAGTAAAGAGTTCATTTTACTAAATTTTAAAAATCATTTTGAAAAGTAAATTAAAAATTTAATATTTTTATCAAAATTGTGTACCTGTAATTTATGCAGAGGTTCATAAAGAATTGATAGTTTCAAAAACTGGTCTGGGTCCAATATTTTAGAAAACTTTTATATTAAAATAGCATAGCATATTTTATATTAAAATAGCAAGGCATCTACATGTGCTTAGTACTGTCTGTGTCAAGCGCTATATATAAAACTTGTCATTAAACCCTCAAGACAATTCTGTGTAATATATACTTGGTATTAACATAATTTTATAAATGCAGAAACTAAGGCTTAAAAAAGTTGAGTAACTTGCCCAAAGTTGCATACTATATTCAGTACATTTGTATTAAATTATTTGTAAATTAAACATATTTTTTAAATAGATTTTTACTGATTTCAGAGAGGAAGGGAGAGGGAGAGAGAGGTAGAGACATCAATGATGAGAATCATTGATTGGCTGCCTGCCACATTCCCCACATTGGGGAATGAGCCCGCAACCCAGGCATATGCCCTGAACGAGAATTGAATTGTGGCCTTCTGGTTCATAAGTCAACGCCCAACCACTGAACCACACTGACCAGGCTGTAAATTAAATATTTAAAAAAATTTAACATTCATTTAGAGTAATTCCATTTTGTCGCCAGACATTTAGTAATCATACCCTTGTACTTTCTGTCTCAGGCGGAAAATGTAACAGTGACAAAGGATTTTAGAAGAGTGGAAAATGCTTATCACATGGAAGCAGAGGTATGAACTTTCAAATAATTGAAAACAACATGACTTTGTGTGAATAATTTGCATTTACTTTTGTTCTTGAACTGAAATGTACGGGAGAAATGTTTCTCATAGTATTGACAAAAGGTTATTTTTCTCAAAATAATTTTTGGTGTTACATATCTGTGAGCTTTTATGTAATGAGATAAGGAGCCATGGGTCAGACTGTTGGACCTCAGAGGGAGGGTGGGGATAAAAGGGAGAGATCAAACAAAGGACTTATGTGCACACATATGAGCCTAACCAGTGGGCAAGGACAATAGTGGGGTGGGGGCATGAGTCAGGGGGAGATTGAAATGGGGGGGTTGAGGACAAATATGTGATACTTTAATCAATAAAGAAATTAATTTTAAAAAATAATAAATGTAACATTTTCTGACATTAAACCAGAATTGACTCATTAGTACTCATCTTTTATTAGTAGTATACCTCTCCAAGAACAAAACAAAGCTAATTCTTTTTTCTTGAAGTACACACTTGCAGTTCAGTATCATATTGATGATACTTTTTCCTTCTCTGATAAGTGATAAGATCCCCAGTTTCTTTGGCCACTTCTTGTGTGAGAAAGTTTTTCTTTAGTTTACCATTACAGCTAAAAAAAAAAAAAAGTGTCTTTCTCAAATGCTGCTTTTAAGTCATGTTTCTCCTTATCTTACACTTTGTTATTCCTGTTTTAAAATGAATTACAGGATTTTACATTTATCTTTGGATGATTTTATCTACTAGATTTGATCTATATTTCCAGTCTATTGGGATCGTTTTTAAATCTCAATTTTATCAAGGTGTTTGTTTTTAGTACTACCAGCTTTATTTCAAGTGCTGATTTGATCATCAGTGTTCCATCTATGTAATTAATTAAAATACTGAGTAGCATTAATCAACTATGACCGTAAGCAACAATGTCGCCATGAAGAGTGTATGTCAGTGTATCCTATGGCTTGTATGAATATATAGGAAAAATGAAAACCCCCTATGGTTATGGTATTTCTCTGGTAATTTACCAACTAGGAAGTCATATTTAGTACTTCTTCATTTGTTCTTAATGATTTCAAATTTACATGTTCAATTTGTTGGCCTTTGGATAGAAATAATTTGGCAGTGATTTAGAAGGTAGAGATTAAGAGAGTAGTAAAGAGTTGGTGAATTTCACTTTCAGGAGTCAAAGCAAAGTTAGAAGTCACATGAGTTTTCTACTTAGTTTATCAGCAAGAAACTCAGTAATTAGAGTCTGAATGTATAATTCTAAGAACCTTGAAAGATTTCAGTCTTAAATACTTATGTCTTTATTTTGTTACTACAGGCCCAGTGCACGAGATTCGTTCACTCGGGGCGGAGGGACAGGGGTTCCTCAGCCCAGCCTGTGCCCTCTCACAGTCTGGGAGCCCTCAGGGGATGTCCGACTGACAGTGACATGTCCTGTGGGAGTGCACTGACCACCAGGGGGCAGCTCCTGCATTGATTGTCTGCCCCCTCGTGGTCAGTGCGTGTCATAGCAACTGGTCGTTACATATTTGGTCATTTTGAATATTAGCCTCATATTGTATAGGATTCCCAAAGGCCTATCTGGAGGAAGCCCTGTATGCATTTCTTCAGAGACAGGAACAAGGAAACCAGGGAGACTTGAGGGGGAAGACAAAAATAGGTTATGGCAGTACCGAAAAGAAAAGAAAATATGCAAAGTGCTGAGGCCTATAGCAAGGATCAAAATGAACCAAAGGCTCTATTTTCTTTCCTTTGATAGAAATCTTTTTTTCCCCTTTTCTTATTTCTTATAAATTAAATTTTAAAATATCTGTTCTAGAATCTTGCCTGGGATTGAAAGGTGTCTAGACTGTTTGTTCAGTTTTATCTGCCCTCCTTTCTTTGGAAATTAGAACTGCCCATATTTTTAGGGAGGATCTTGGCCTGTACTTTGTGGTAATTTAGGTTAGCAATTATAATTCAGAAGTCTTATATGCAGAACATTTCAATAACCGAAATTTGATTTATCCAGAAGATGAATTTATTAAAAGCATTTAAAATCTCCCCTATTTTGGAATTTAGTTTCTTCATTACTGAAATGCTAAACTAATGGGGATATGAAGCATTTATATGATAATCTCAATACGTTTTGTACTTTAATACAACTAGTTATATTAAAGTACAAAACATATTGAGATTATCATATAAATTCTAATTCACTACGTTAATAAAATAAAAAAGGAACACCATATGGCCATTTAACAAAAATCCAACATGTATTCCTAATAAAAATTCTCAGCAAGCTAGAATAGTAGGGAACTTCTTCAAACTGATAAAAAAAAAAAAAATCTACAGCTGATATCATGTGTAATGGTGAAAAAACACTAAATACTTGTGCCTAAATCAGGAATAAGAAAAACATACCTACTTTCATGACTTCTATTCAACATTGTACCGTACTTGAAATTTTCTAGCTAATGCAATTAGGCAAGAAAAAGAAATAAAAGGCATCCAGAATGGAAAGTGAGAAGTGAAATTGTCTTTATTCATGGATAACATGACCATCTATGTAGAAAATCTGATGGAACCTACAAAAGAGCTGTTAGAATTCATAAGCAGCAAAAATATACAATACCTAGGGGTGAGTCTAATTTTAAAAATGTGAAAGAGCTATAACTATAAATTATAAATCATTGCTACAAGAAATTAAAAAAGACCTAATTAATGGAGAAATATACCTTGTAAGTAATTTGGAAGTCTTAATATCATTAAGATACCAGTTCTTCCTTAATAAAATATATATAGATTCAGTATAATCCCAACCAAAATCCCAGTAAGCTTTTAAAAATAATAGAAGTTAACAAAATGATTATAAAATACCTTATTTACTAAGAATTAAATCAGACAGAACATGGTCTTCGCTGGCCAGCATTTCTGACACAGGCAGCTGTTCCGCCTTGTGTGAGACGACTTGGAAGGCCAGGCCGCCCTCTCTCTCTGCTGCTCTTGCTTACTCTCCAGCATCTGTGCTTTTCTGTTCTACGTATTAAGCTTGTGTAAACTTTCCTTAAAAGAAAGGCTTAGTCTGCTTCCTTAAAAGGGTTTTTAAGACTACAGTTTTAAGTCTTGCTGAATATAAGGATTCTCCCACATATTTAAAGAAAGAGGACATAATGAAATAGATGTTTCGCCGAAATCGGTTTGGCTCAATGGATAGAGCATCAGCCTGTGGACTGTAAGGTCCCGGGTTCGATTCCAGTCAAGGGCTTGGTTGCGGGCACATCCCCAGTGGAGGGTGTGCAGGAGGCAACTGATTGATGTCTCTCTCTTATCGATGTTTCTAACTTCTGTCCCTTTCTCTTCCTTTCTGTAAAAAATCAATAAAATATATATATTTTAAAAAATAGATATTTCCACATATAAATGTGAAAATAACAACTAGAAGAAACATACCTCACTTATAGCAGTGAAGTGAACTATGATGTAATTACTGCTAATCGGGAAGTTAATGGCATAGATTCGACTAAGGACTGATAAAAATTTATCAGAGTTAGAATTCAGCCAAATAATAAAATTAAAGGGGAAAAGCCTCCAATTATCTCTCATAAGAAAGTCCCTGACTGGTTTAAAATGTAGTTTTAAATATTCAAGTTAATACTAGATAAAATTCATAAGCAAAAATAAATTTAATAACAATAATTTAGTTACAAGTATCAGCAAGGCTTTTTATATCTGTTACATGCTATAAAATGACTTCAGTGTAATATGGATTTACTTTTTAAATTCTAATTTAGAGAAAATTTTGAAATAATGTATTAGGCATGAAAATAACTTCAAGTGTCATTTCATTTGCAGGTCTGCATTACATTTACTGAATTTGGAAAAATGCAAAATATTTGTAACTTTCTTGTTGAAAAACTAGATAGTTCTGTTGTTATCAGCCAACCCCAGTTCTATCATACTCCAGGTTCTGTTGAAAATCTTCGGTAAGTTCAGCACATCTTTAAATTATCAATTAATTAAAACTCTTCAGTGTTACAGTTCATTGAATGTCATATTAATAACCTCTGCATTTCATTCCTAAGACGGCAAGCCTGTCTTGTTGCTGTTGAGAATGCATGGCGCAAAGCTCAAGAAGTCTGTAACCTTGTTGGCCAAACTCTAGGAAAACCATTATTAATCAAAGAAGAAGAAACGAAAGAATGGGAAGGCCAAATAGATGATCACCAGTCATCCACACTCTCAAGTTCATTAACTGTACAACAAAAAATCAAAAGTGCAACAATACATGCTGCTTCAAAAGTATTTTTAACTTTTGAAGTAAAGGGAAAAGAGAAGAAAAAAAAACATCTCTGAAATTCCAACCAAAATATATTGTATTTGTATCTTTTTGTCTATTTTTATACTTTTTATAATGTTTACTTTTGCCTGAATGAATATATATATATATATATATATATATATATATATATTCTAGTATATAAAGAGTTTTTCCCCCAAATCTGTGAATCCTTAATATAGTTCCACAGAATATTATGTTTACTTACAATTTTGAAAATCTGTGGGAAATACTCTTTGGAAATAAATATGTGAATACTTGTATATACTGAATTTATATTAGTATATGTGTAATTAACTTTTATATTTCTACTAGAGGCCCGGTGCATGAAATTCATGCACAAGGATGGTGGGGGGCAGTGTACCTTAGCCCACCCTGCACCCTCTCACAATCCAGGACTGCTGGCTCCCAACTGCTCACCTTCCTGCCTTCCTGACTGTCCCTAACCACTTCTGCCTGCCAGCCTGATCATCCCCTAACCACTCCCGCCAGTCTGATTGATGCCTAACTGCTCACCTGCCAGACTGTTTGCACCCAACTTCGCTCCTCTGCTGCCTAGTCACCCCTAATTGCCCTCCCTTGCAGGGTTGATTGTCTCCAATTGCCCTCCTTTGAAGGTTTGGTGCCTCCCAACTGCCCTCTCCTGTTGGCCAGCTTGTGTGGCCATCTTGTGTCCACATAGGGGCAGGATCTTTAACCACATGAGGACAGCCATCTTGTGTGTTGGAGTGATGGCCAATCTGCATATTACTCTTTTATTAGATAGGATAGAGGCCTGGCACATAGGTGGGGGCCAGCTGGTTTGCACTGAAGGGTGTCCCAGATCAGGGTGCGGTTGCCGTGGGGCATGGGGCAGCCTGAGCGAGGGGCCTGTGGTGGTTTGCAGGCCAGCCATGTCCCCAGCAACCCAAGCGGAGGCTCTGGTATCTGGAACTTATTTATCTCCTACAACTGAAACTTTGTAGCCTGGAGCGGAGCCAAGCCCCCTGCTCGCTCAGTGGCTGCAGCCATTTCTGTTGGGATTTATGTATCTTCTACCATTGAAACTCTGTAGCCTGGGGTGGAGGCCTGGGCCGGCCAGGGTGTGCGGAAAGCTTGGCTTCCTCCATCGCCAGGGGCAACCCTAGTTTCCTGCTCTTTCCAGCTCCATAGCTGCTGCCATTTCTATTTGGATTTGTTTACCTTCTTTAAAAAAAAAAATGTATCTTACTGATTTTTTACAGAGAGGAAGGGAGAGGGATAGAGAGTAAGAAACATCGATGAGAGAGAAGCATCGATCAGCTGCCTCCTGCACACCCTCCCACTGGGGATGTGTCCGAAACCAAGGTACATGCCCTTGACCGAATGGAACCTGGGACCCTTGTTCTATCCACTGAGCCAAACCGGTTTGGGCTCAAAGGCTGTTTAAGAAATTCATGTCTGTACTTGGTAACAATTAATTTGTAGCTAATAAAAACAAAAAAAAAACACATGCTGTTTTTTTTGTTGAATTAGTCATATTTACTGTAACTACATTTTTTAAAAATTAGTATAATGATTCAAATAAGTCAACTCTAGCCCAAGTAATTAAATAGCATGAAAATAAAATTTTTTGTAGTTTGTGATAAATCAGTCATGAAAAGTCTCTTGGAGTAAAGGGTGAAGTATAACTCAAAGTTGAATGTCAACTAAATAAAATAAATTTTAATACGTTGAGTGTTTCATAATTCAATACATGCAAAGCATTTCAGAAATCTTACTTTTTCACCAAAGGGTATTAAGTGACCTCATTTTTCTCCAAAATTGTTTTGAGCCTCCATTTGCCATCAGTGCTCAGGCTACTTTTTAAAGATTTATTTAAGAGTTTCTGTTGTTAAAGCTACTGGCAATTTTTAAGCATTCAGATCAAATACTGTTGAAAAGTATTGTAATAAGCTCAATAAATTAGATGATCTTTCTCTTTTCCCCAAGAAAAAGATGAGGGAAGTTTTAATTACAGAGCATCTGCTACAAAAGAATGCATACTGATCTTGGATTCATTTTTGTTTTAATTTTTGGTTGTGTTTTTTCTTTTTGTTAGGGAATTTCTATTCTTGGACTTAATTTCTGACATAAATAGTAAAATGTGCACATGTTTTATATTGTTAAAAGCCACTAAATTTATTAATCATCATCCCCCACAATCCCAAAGTATTATTTTAAATGATGTAAAGGTCTCTTTTGAAGGATAGCTATTTTTCTAAGAGTCAAAAGAAAATAAAAGACAATTATAATACATGAAATGTTTCCTTGAAGACTGGAGCAGAAGCTTTACCTCAGACAAAACATTGCTGGTAGAGCTGCTAGCAGCATACAGAGCAGCAAAACCATCAGTAGACGCTTTAGGAATCTCCACATTGATAGTTTTCCAAGAAACTTCTCTATGTAGTATATCAGGCAAAAAAGAGAAAAACATTTATTCACCTTTAATGTGCAAAATCCATTAGCAACATTTACATATGAAACAAGTGGGGTTTTTTTGTTTTTTTCCCCCAAACTCAGTAAGTTACTGATTTTATTGTTTTGTTATTGGATTGAGAGCTAATTAGAAACATTCAGGTTTCTTCCCTACATACAACTATCCTTAAAATAGTTGGGCCTAGCTGGTTTGGCTCAGTGGATAGAGCGTTGGCCTGCGGACTGAAGAGTCCTGGGTTTGATTCCAGTCAAGGTCACATGCTTGGGTTGCGAACTTGATCTCCAGTGGAACACCGAGACATGTTTAATCCACAGTTTCTATATTAAAACAATAAGAGTTTAGAAGTTGACGTTAATATTTGTGTGTGGTCTGTCAAACACACAATAAAAGAATTGAGATAGCCTAATTACTAAAGAAACCTGATGCTGGGAAAGAAGTTGAAAGAAGAGAAATCAGTCAGCCTTCTGCCCCCTACATGTCTAAACCAGAAGTTCTTTTGGAGAATGTATGCATTGTAACAATAATATAGGCACCTATTACACTGATTAAATTGAGCTAGTGCTATCTTAGTGATCAGCTTGAGAATAGCCCAACTTAGCAAAAAAGTACATTGTACACGGGTAGGTAAGAGTAGGTTTTTAACCCTAGCTGGTTTGGCTCGGTAGATAGAGTGTCAGCCTGCAGACCAAAGGGTCCCAGATTTGATTCCAGTCAAAGCATGTACCTTGGTTTCAGGTTTGTCCCCAGCAGGGGGTGTACAGGAGGTGGCTGATGGATGTCTCTCTCTCATCGATGTTTCTAACTCTGTCCCTTTCCCTTCCTCTCTGTAAAAAAAAAAATCAATAAAATATATATATATATTTTTTTAAAAACTCAAAATAAATGATACATTAACCAATTATAATGTATGGAGCTTATGTGGAGCATGATTCAAACAAACTAAACAAAAATATTCAGGAGACATTTGGAAATTAAAATACTGACTAGATGTTTGATGCTATTTCTGTATGTTTTTCATAATATGACTGTTAAAAAATGTGTCTTTTCACTATATTATGTTGTTTTTGATAAGAACATAAGAAGGAATGAAGACTTGGGTGGGTTACAAAGGATGGACATGCAGAGTCTGAAAGGCAGGCTGAAGCCAGATTTCTAAGCCTTGACATTTATGAATACTAAGGATGAGACTTGGGAGTTTCAGGGGAGAGGGGGCTTATTGACTATAATGGAGAGAAACCAGTTGCCAGTTAGGATGGCAGTGCAAGATCTAGGAGAGGAGATGAGGCATGCTTGGGTGGAGATGGCAGAAATGAGAAGAGGATACTGGGAGGAAAAAAAAAATAGGTTATCAAGCTTTTAAGTCTACAATGTGGCTACCACAGTCCTGGGCATTATGGAATATTCGAGAGAAATACAAATAAATCCCAGAACCTTGTTCAGGAATCAGCATCAGAACATAATTATCTGAGTAAATTACTCATGGAAAGTAGCTTGGTGATAACATTTGAGAGAAAAATCCATTTCTAGTAGAGTCAACAGTAACTGAAGGATTATAAATATACAGATGTAAACCTAAGTTGTGAAATAGCTACAAAAATACCTAAATAAATAGAAGAATGGGTAGTAGTAACAAAGGGAGGAAAAATGACTTCAACCGAAAGAGAAAGGTACGGCCGACTAAACACAAACCAAATCAAAACTAACCTTGATGAGTAAAGGGAAACTTGTCCTCCGTGTCCGTGGCCTTCTTCCTCAACCTAAAATACTTCAAATAAAGTGAGGCGAGGGAGAGGGCGGTGCCCTCGTCCTGGTGCCTCTTCAGTCGGGTTATCTGTCAAGCATCTGGGGAAATAATGAATAACATAAACTGAAGAACAAAAACAGACCTGGTAACAGGGAAGCCTTGATCAGACTGTCAAACCTCGGAAGGAAGGGAGGGTGGGAGTAATGGGGAGAGATCAACCAAAGGACTTGTATTCATGCATATGAGCCTAACCAGTGGTCACGAACAACAGGGCGTGGGGGCATGTGTGGGGAGAGGTTTGGGATGAGAATGGTTGGATGAGGACAATTATGTGATACCATAATCAATAAAGAAATTTAAAATGTAAAAAAAAAAAAGAAGTCCAAATGCTGAGGCCCCTCCCACGGCCTGTCCTCCACCTGGGATCTCCATTGACACCAAAGAGACCCGGCCTCTACCTGCCTCCTATAGGCCAAGCCCTAGGAGGAGGGCTGCACTGGGCGAGGCAGAGCCTCTCTGAGCGTGGAGGGAGGAAGACTGAGGACCCCAGACTGGCCCAGTGGAAGCACTGGCCGCCACTGGGCGCCCTCACTCCCCCAGTGAGGTCAGGCCCCTGAGCCCACTCCTCACCACAGGGTGGGGTGGGTTCTCATGGGACAAAAGCAAGCACAGGAAATGATGCCCATAGCAAGATTGTTCATAGCAGCAAAAGGCTGGAAGCAACCACTGTGTCTACTGGAAATAGAATGGCCAGATTGTGATGTCACACAATAAATATAGTGAAAATGAATTTATATTTTGGAAAAATTACTAAATTATTGTTGTATAAAGAGACAAAGAGTATGTCACCCAAAACTTAGAAAAAAGGATATAAGATAGCAGTCAGGCTTCATTTCGTTAGAGAGAAATGTGATACTGGTATTCATGTCTACATTTGCATACAATCTATACAACTTATTTCACAAATATTTGTGTTTATAATTCACAAAGAATCTAAAAGCACATGTATACATGTTATATAAACAGATTTTTTGTATAAAATCGACTGTGAAAGCATACCCAATGGCACAAACATTCAG